AAGCATTATTGCCAAAAACAAAAAAGAGTAGTAACCAACATAAAGCCACATCCTTGCCAGGTACCTTTTTTTTGGACAAAGCTATTTATCAGTTTCTAGGCAGAGACCAAGAGGAAATTAAGAAAACTCTATTACCTTATACAATTCTCTCCATTTAAATTCAACCCTCCTTTTTTTCATCCTTTCCACCACAAGCTCAGCACTCTCAGCACCAAATTGCCGCTCAAAGAATTTCTTCCAAAGTTTATTAGTTACTGGGCTAAGATCTCTTCCCTGCAACGACCAAACAGAAACAAAAGGGAAAAAGATCAGCCAGTCCATAATAAGTACATATGCAAAGAAAGAAATAAATTGGGCAAATTTTCTAAAATAGTTACCTCTGTACAATTCTCAACGTGTATCAACTGATCCATGGTGCAATGCGGTAAAATACGCTCCAGTAGATGGAACTCTGTTTCTCCAACATTTCCAAGATATCGAACATTGAGAACTGCAATCTGAACACATAGATCAACCAAGGAAGGTATTCCCTGCATTCTTATTGTTTGTCTTCCAAGTATATTTATAAGCTCCGATCTTTATTCTCACCCCTGATGAATTAATCGAGAAAAAATAATCAACATTGAAGCCTTCTAGTACTCTATAACCTCAAAGAAATAAATGTAAAATCCCGTCTTTAGCCATTTGTTGTATAAGAAGATATCAAGTGTGCATATACCATGAAAAAAAAGATGCTTACAGCTAAATAAGAGTGCTATTGCAGCAAACTATAGCAAGAAGCAAGGAAATCCATCCACATCTGAGCACGTTAGTGTAGAAGGGGGTGAACTAGAGGAGGGTGTAAAGGGGAAGCGGTGGTTCAAGCCCTTCTCCAGTACTACAAATTTAAGTTACGTGTTCCCCTTCCTTTATTCCCCGGAACAAAAGTAAAAAAAGATAATTGAACTCTTCCACTTTCATAAAATGATACCTTTCTACCCTTCGTCCATGGTTTTAACCCGTTTGGATTACCATTGTCTGGAATTTTTGCAGAAAAATATACTGTAGCTATTTCATGTATGTGAGGTAAAAAGGTGATTGGAAAATGTGTTCACAGAAAACATAAAACTTATTTTGAGGAAAAATGGCAATCCAAACAAGGCTGCCAGCTAATCCACTTAGCTAGAATACAAACCAGAGTAGCAATATGCTATTAAGGAGGAATTTACCCCTCGACTCATGATTTTTAATAAACTGTCAATCCCTCTAATCGGTTGAAAGTAATTCACGCGATCAAAAACCCAAAATGGAACTTATTCATTACAACAAACTAGTGATCAACATCACATCATTAACAAGACATACTCCGTTGATCTCACACTAATAAGCAGGCTTATACTTGTCCCTCCAAAATACCTCTCTCCCATACACATCCTCCACTAAGAGAATCATCAGACATCACTCTTATCTGGTTTTTATCTAAATTTAACATCTCCATTTTATTTTCATTAATTTTTCCTCCCTCGTGGTAAAATGGGACCTAAAATTGTCACGAAAAGGAAATAATTCTTTTGAATTTATCTATTAAAATTTGGATGTATCTAATTCAATAACACCATAGATTGGCTGTACAATCAGCACTAGGAAACTTTTTTTTTTAAAAAAAGGCCCAATTTATCCAATTCAGAATAAAAAAATCCGATCTTTACTGAATCATCATCATCGCCAAGTAACATAACACAATTAACCAAAAAAAAAAAAAAGAAGAAAAAACAGGAGAAAACCCCAAATTAGAATAAGAGAAAAAAAATTAATAAACAAATAATCATAAAAATTAGAAAAATGGAAATTAAGGTAAAAGAGGTAGATTTGGATAAAAGAGCTCACCGGAAGGTGATCGGAGCCTAAAAATGATCGAGGCGACGACGTCAGCAAGCGGAGCTTGATTTTCCAACAGCCTATAATTTATATTTGTGTACATAGAAAAAATAATAGCGATCGAAACTGCAAATTAATGAATGGAAAAAGTAAAAATTAAATATACAGGAGGCTTTTTGGGAAAAAAAAAAATCTACTACTTGTTATCGTCAACCAGTTGTATCTTTCTTGCCATTATTGGAATAGATAGTGACATCAGGATTTTTTTTGCTTTCCTTTTAGGAATTGGATTTCATTCTTGGGCTATGCAAGTTCTCACTTCACTAGAATCGGGCCAATACCGTCTTGTTAATACCGGGCTACTCTTCAGGTGCCCAATGGTACATACAATAGTTTGGAAGTTGCGAGACAGGTACGTTGGCCTTAGGTGTAATTGTCATACTCTTTTCATGATTTATTATACAATCACGTCACTTTTGTTGTATATCATGAAAAATAACTCTTTGGATGGCAGTGTTTTTCAAAAATTAATTTTTTAAATATAATAAAAAATTTTAAAAAGTACTCTAAAAGGTAATCTAAAAATTAATTTAAATTTTAAAAATTTTAAAAAATATCTCAAAATATATTTTAAAAACTCTTCTACTCTTAAATATCTCAAAATATTTTCTGAAAATATCCTAAAATATAATCTAAAACTCTACTACAATAAAATTTTTCAAAAATACCCCAAAAAACAGTTAATTCAAACGGAGCAATTACGTAAATATGTCATGAAATACAACAAAAAATTATGTGAGTGTGTAACAAATAATAGGAAAAAATATATAATAATCGGACCAACCACACATATAGCTAACTGTACCTTCTCCAAACCACATAGTTACTGTTATTATCTTTATTTTATCTTGCAAATTTGTATATGCGGTTGTCCCAAAGTGGACTTGAAAATTTTCTAGTAACTGTGATCAAATACAATAATAATATTTATTAATTCATATAAAAAAAAACTAATTCATACTTTATCTTTTTTTTCAAAGGACTATTCTGTTACATTATTATTGATAGTTCCTTTGCACTAGCAAACCTTGCAGGTGTGCCATTATTGGCGACAGATTGCACTCTATATTTTGTTACTAGATTAATTCGTTAACTTGGGTTCCAATGAATTTGTGAATTAGAGAAAAGAAGACGATGAATTTTCCCTCCATAACTTGTTTCTTTAGTGCTTTTTTTTTTTTTTTTTTTTTCATTTTTTAGCTTGGGCAAGTTTCGCATTTTAGGTAGCTTTTTCACTAGTGGAACCAGATGTTGAAGTTTGAGGGGGCCAAGACCACTAAATATGTACAATCAAAGAGGTACCCACACAATTTTATGAAATAATTTGTTGAGGGGGGAGGGGGGGATGGGTTCAAAGTCTTGCATTGACAAGGATATAAGTGAAGCTTTTAACATCTCAAGGGTTTTAGAAACATATTTCTGAAGTTTGAGGGGGTAAAGTCTAATTTCTATAAGGATATAAATGAAAATGTATAATTTTTCAAGAGAACAAAGAAGAATTTCTAGAATCTCCCCCTTGCATCCACCGAGCTTCAAATATAAAAGGCGCAGCAGCAATAACCATAAGAACGGACATACGCTGTACTCAATATCTGTTTCAATTGGGCCGTTTAAAATCGAACAGGTATTATGGACTTTTTTTTTCTTTGAACATCCGGTATTTTCACTCTCAGTGAGACCATTTCGAATTCGATTTGAAACGTGCTCATAGAGTCCGATTTTTACTCAGGAAAGAAGGTCTGGCTAAAACTTTTCAAAGCGTCACATGTAGAGGTCGAACTTGAACTTCTCGTTAACATTAGCAACTCCAACTTAGCTTTTTTTTTATTTTTTATTATCTATTGTCACCATCTACATCTATACCTACACCTAATCATAATCTAACCTATACTAACAGAGTGACTCAATAGGATCATGGGAAATCGATGGGAAGTGAACCACTATCGAATCATACGATATAAGAAGCACCCATATGAATCTAAAAGAATTGACATTAAGTAGCAATTTTGACAAGAAGTAAGATTTGAATTGTTAACCTCCTATCCCAATCTACAATGATACGTGGTGGCCAACTATTCTCTAGATAATTGGCAACCCCCGCTTACCAGTCATCCAAACTCGAGTTAAGTGTTACGGACTTTACCACACGGTTCTACGTTCATAGAATTCACGACTAGAATGTCACCTCCACTCTAGCAACCATCTTCGTGCCACCAAGTGTAAGGTTTGAATCTGGTTGGATAGCTCTTAATGTTGATGGTTCAGGTAACGTCAATTGTCTTTTCTGGAATCCAAGGAATTTTCAGAAGCCGCCATTATGATTTTGTTCTTGCATTTGAAAAGCACATTGCCATCCAACATCAATTTCCCAAACTCATGTTATTCCCTGTTTGTAGACTCATTGTGGACAAGTTCTAGAGGCCAGAGCGGGGAAGGAGACCAAATTCCGGGACTACCTCATCATTGATGCCCCAGGTGATCGCCAAATTCTGCCATGATATTTTGTCTGAGACATGCCTCCCTTTTGCCCTTAGAAATCGACCGTGTTTACTTTTGTAACTCGTCCACCATATCCATGGTTCCAGGTCGCTGTCACGGTGTCGTATTTGTCATTATTTTATAATTCTTTTCATATCATATCGATTGCGGTCATATTGTTGTGATCTTGGTGAGATGATTTTTTCATACATTTAATATTCTAAAATTCATAAAAATTTATTAAAAAAATATACAAAAACATGTAAAAAAAAGAAAATGATCAAAGTAAACATACAAACCTTTTACAAGTGCAATGGCACGTAAAGAATATTAATGATTTAACTTCAAATTTTTTAATAATTAATACGATATAAATGTCTTTTGGGATAACTATTTTATAAAAACACAATCACCCATCTCATCTCTCTAGCTCATGCACTAGAATTACTATTAAAAAAAATTAACTCTATAAAAAAACTGATTATTATATAAAATCTCTCTGCATAAATGGAAAAAATTATATATGAAAACTGTAGCAAGAATTTTATAATTCTTCGCTAAAACCAAATAAATTGGGATAAAAAATGGTTGACATGTGTGGGTGTTAGTAACTTCTAGACGTTCGTGACCCAAATCGATCACATAAAGGTCTCCTATTTGTTTACCTCTCATCTCCTCTTCCGTCTCCTCCGAGTTGACGCAGGTCGATTCCACCGAGTCCGAGCGTGTTTCCACCGATTCTTGCTCGCGGTGCGGTGGTGGAACGCTCAGCCTCCTTCCGGTGGCGTTTTGAACCATAAATTTCAGAAATGAGGCACGTAAAATACCAAACTTATGATCTTTTGATTGTAATATTATCCATCCTCTGTTTGCTCGCTTTAGACAGTGTAAAAATGGAATCATGGAAGAGTTCCTTGAAGCTAATCTACATACGTATATATAGTCTCCAGGTCTCCTTTTTAGTTTTCACATAGTATTATACTATTGTTCCTTGGGGCTGTTACCAAGGAATTATTCTCACCTTGGGAACCACTCTCTTCTTTCCTTCACCCTTGATTTGGTGCACTTTATACTACAAAAGAACAAGAATTAAATGATACACACACCAGGATGCAAATGATGAAAACTTGAATGCCTTTCTTTATCTGGGCACCTCCATTCAGATCCCACCCTGCTATAGATGCAGCAGCAGCCTCTGTTTATTATTGGTCCTTAGTTCTAGTGCAAGGCAGTGAGGGAGCAGCTTTTTGATATATATATATATATATATATATATATATATATATATTGCAATGAGTGCAAGAGAAGAGAAAAATATGGACACTATTGTTCATTTCACGTATCGACATCCACTTAGCATCTCAACAATCCAATGTCGAGCAAGACATAATGATCGATGTGGCATGTGCTCGGAAATCCTTGATCCAATTGCCAGAGTTTATGCTTGTCAAGGTTGTTCATTCTTCTTACACGAACATTCTGCTGAATTGCAGCTGGATATTTCACACCCCTTTCATCCCCATCGCCTTCATCATCACATTGATCCTATTGCTATTGGGAGAGGGTGCGACGCTTGCAGCTCTCGTGGATCTTATCCGTTCAAAAGCTGGTACCGATGTGAAGAGGCTGACTGCTCCTTTAGTTTGCATTTGAAGTGTGCTCTGTTAAAACCTTCTCATGATCATCATCGAGTAGAGGCGCTGCAGAATTCTCACGGGCATTCTCTACTTGTTTGCGACAGGCCAAATGTTTTGCATTACTCTTGCACTCGCTGTGACACTGAATTTGGAGATGATGACAAGATTTACGTTTGTCTTGAATGCAAATGCATGTTAGATGAGCCGTGTGCTGCTCATGGGCAGGAAATCAGGCATCCCTTTCACTCTCAACATACTCTCTCTCTCGTTCTCTATTATTTGCGTCCACCTCGTTGCTGCAGCCTCTGTGGTGGCGGTGGAAGGAATGGTTATTTCTTCACTTGTTCTTCATGTGATTTTTGCCTCGATGTTGATTGTGCCAACTTGGGCGAGACTACCACAATCTGCAAAGCCGACCAAGGGCATATTCAAATCCAACCTGTAACCCACCCCCATCCCTTGATTCAAGTGGAAGTAATGATCAGCATGAAGAATTTCAGCTCCTGCTGCTTTGCCTGCGGCCTCCGCTTTGAGGATCTTGTTTACGCTTGCCTTTCATGCCGAATCCTACTCCATAAATCCTGTGCTGATTTGCCTAACGAAATCACTAGCCATTTGCACCCGAACCACTTGCTCAAACTTGTCAAAAACTCTTTCTGGTTCCACAAGAGATTTTCTTGTCGAGTGTGCTTACAATCTACCGGCCACTTTTTCTACGACTGCGAAGAATGTGACTTTGGGTTGGATGTTAAGTGTACAAGATCTGCATTCCCACTTATAATGTCCAAATACCACAAACACGCTCTTGCTTACATTGACATTCAAACGCATAATTTTGAGTGTGTTTTGTGTATTTGTATTTGCAGACAATTTTACTTCAGGTGTTTACGCTTGGATTGCAACTTCAGCATCCACGATCACTGCTATCCATCGCTGCCACCGACCATCAAAGATGATTGCCACATACATCCCCTCACATTTGCCAATTATCCAATCAAGGGGGTTCCAGATGATCCGGAGGAAGAAGCAGAATTGTATTGCTATGCCTGTGAAGAAGGACGAGCATTCGACCGTATCACATATTTGTGTTCATCATGCCACTTTGTTGCTCATGTTCATTGCGTGATAACAGTGGTACGAGTATGACAACAGTCAACTCTTGGTATTAACTTGAATTTTGACAGCCTTCTGTGTTTTTGGATTGCTTCAAACTTAATATGTGCGTTTGGGATCAATTTTGTGTTACCAGATCATATCGTACCTGCACAAGGAGCCTAATCACTTGGCCATTACTATCATTGGAGAACAATTGGGGTCTACAGGTGATTCAGCTGATGAGGATGCAGTTCTGCATCAACTAGACGAGGAAATTATGAGACTCGAAAAGGATGTGCAAGCACTAATGGCAAAAATGGGAGAACTTAGAAAAAGTCGTTTTGAGCATATTTCAAAGCGAACTACCTCCAGAAGAAAGTTCCTGTTGGAAAAACGAGATCAACTGTAAATACAAGATCAATTGTACAAGTCTGTCTAGCAAACCTGCACTGCCATGCGCAATCAGTTGAGATTGAAGTTAGAATAGCCATTACATGTGATGTGTTTCCTGAGTTTGTTGAGATTATGGAAGAATTTGTGAACACAAAACCCCAAAAACATTTACTTGAAACTCTTGAAAACGTTTTTCCTTCATAGCTTGCTTTTAACGCCTTCTTTAAAACTTCAGAAGGCGTAGTTTTATGTAGCTTATGCGGAGCTGCGCCTGTTTTAGGCAGCTTTCACTTCCCTGCCTTTGTAGGGTACTTGAAGGCTTGCTTCGTGTAGTTTGCACTATTATGTAGTGGTATGGACTTTTACTACACCGTTCTATGTTGGATTTCAGATTTAGAGTGTTTCCTCTATTCTAGCAGATATATTGTGTCAACTGTGAAGCGTAAGAATCAAAGAATGGAATGATAGAGTAATAGATCAGTTGCCTGAAGTTTAATCCAAGAAGTCCTTTTGACGTATTTTGTTCCTTGAAGCTGTTAGGAAGAAATTCTTGCCTAAAGAACCGTTCTTTTCCCTCTCATAAGTCATACCTACACAAATAGCTCAAGTACCTCCACACCAAACTATGTGATGTAGCCTGGTTTTAATTGGTCTTTAGTTCTCTTCAAAGGGATTGAGCCGCATTTTAATATTGCTGTAACTGCGAGTGAAGAGAAAATTATGTAACTAATGCATGCGGGAGTGTATCATGAATGGAAAACAAAAAAGGAAAAAAAAATCCTCTAAGTCCAGAATCAATCCCAACCAAGGAAAGCATAAAGATGATTCTTGTCAAGTCAAAAAGTTGTTGGACACAAGGGCCACTGGCCAGTTAGGATGCTTTTGGTAATTTGCCTTCCTTTAGTCTATGAGACTGTGGACTAGTATGAGTGTGAAATCATTGAAACATTGAAGTATTGATTGTAAGAGAGATGGAAAATCCTGTTCATCATTTCCGGCATCCACATCCACTAAGCCTCAGAAAGTTCAACCAGCCAGGAAGAAAATGTCATATGTGCCAGCGCCAACTTGATTTAGATGCTACTGTCTACGGCTGTGAGAGATGTAGTTTCTTTTTGCACAGAGCTTGCGCAAAATTTCAACAACAAATTATACACCCCTTTCATCCTCATCATACTCTTGCTTATCTCGACGAATCGCCTTATGACAATGAAACCTACTGCAGTGTTTGCAGCGAAAAGATTAAGCATGCTATCTACCACTGCGAAGAGACCAATTGTCAGTTTGATCTGGACCTTGGATGTGCTGCCTTGACGCCTAGTAAGAAGTATGCAGATCGTGTAGCAGAGCTTCAAGGAAATCATCAGCATGCCTTAATTTTACGTGACAAGCCAAATGAATTTTATGATTTTTACTACTTTTGCAGCCGCTGCTATGAGCTTATTGTCGATGATAAACTTATATTTGCGTGCCTGGAGTGTAAGTGTCTGTTAGATGAATCTTGCGCTGCTCAGGGACGTGAAATCAAGCACCCTTTTCATCCTGATCACCCTCTCAAACTTCAGCCCGTGAACTCTGTATCTCCAGCCAAATGCAGCGTCTGTGCTTCTACAGGTTTCTTATTTGTTTTTCAGTGTTCTTTGTGTGACTTCGTTTTGGACCTTGACTGTTCTAAATTGAAGCCAGCAACCAACAAAATTGATTCAGATGAAGAAATTATTAAAATTCAGTTTGTAAGCCATCCACATCCCTTCACATCCCTTGATTCAGTGTGATGCTAGTGGCATATCGAACTATCAAGCCCGCTGCCATGGCTGTGGGCTTCATTTCCAGGATTCTGTTTATTTTTGCCTTCAATGCGGATTACCATTCCACCGATCTTGTGCTGATTTGCCACCTGAAATGGCTCATCCTTTTCATCCTCAGCACCCACTCATCCTTGTCGAAAATCATTCCAAGTCATCCCCGGAATGTTCGTCCTGTCGAGTTTGTGGTATTACAACCGGATTCTTTTTCTATAAATGTAGAGAGTGTGATTTTGGATTAGACACCAAGTGTTCTTGGTTGAAACATCCGCCCATAAGAACTGAAGTTCACCAGCATCCTCTTGCATATGTAGACCTTGAACTAGAACTCTTTAACCTCGAGTGCAGCATTTGTGATTCATCTTGCAGTAAATATTTCTTTCGCTGTTTAGAATGCGACTTCAGCATCCATGATTACTGCCATCCTTCACCTCTACAATCCTTAAAACATGATTGCCACATAGATCCCCTTATATATACAACTACTCGAATAAGGACATGCCAGATGAAGAGGATTTTGCTGAATTTTATTGCAATGCTTGCGAAAAAGCACGAGTACTAGATCATCCTACTTACTACTGTTCAGGATGCCATTTTGTTGCTCACATTCATTGCGTGATTTCAGAGGTTTGCATATGTTTAGTCCATTTAATCAAAGAGTATCATTACCCCCCCCCCCCAACATATTTTTTGGGTGATTTTAGATGCCTTGTGTACTAATTCAATGCTTTACCATGCACCAGATCCTGCCTTATTTGAAGAAAGAGCCCCTAGACTTGACTACTACCATAGACAAGAACATCAAGTTGGAGACAACTGAAGAAGATACAGATGGTTCAGAAGATGAGGTGACCTTAGGACGTGATTCTTCAGCTGTTGGAACTGAAGAAGTCAGCGATGAGGCTACATCAGGAGGTGGTTCTTCAGCAGTTGGAACTGAAGAAGTCGGTGATGAGGATGTAAATACTGCTATACAACGCCTAGACGAGCAAATTGCAGCAGTCAGGAACAAAATTGAAGCACAGGAAGCAGAATTGGAGCAACTTGAGGGGAGACGTGCCCAGCTAATTGCAAAAGAAAGACAACATTCAGGAGAGTACTAGTATAGAATCTGTTTCTGCATATCATCAAATGCAAAATAACATGCACCAAAAAAAAAAAAATTGGAATGGGCCTTTTTCAGGTGATTAGAGCATTCTCATGTTGAGAACTGCACCAGAAGTGTTGCCATGAACAAAGAAAGAGTTGGTATTTGACTATTTGAACAGGATAATGTACCGGATTTGTGCTATGAGCCTGCAATCCTGAACCTTTACTGGATGAAACAAGATAAAGAGTAAAGAAAGCAAATAACAAACTGTACAAAATGCTTGAATACATATATTAATACAAAAATAAAGGCAGAAAACATCATTGCTACGAGAAAATGGAGTCATCATTGAAATATCAATGTACCAGTGTAGAACTATGAAGAAAAACAGAAGGGTTAAGGAACCACATTTCTATTTGTATATCTTAAATGACAAAGGTTATTACGTTTTTTTTCCCTTCTTTTGAGGATAACAAAATGAACAGCAATTTGAAGAAATGAAATACGTTCTTAATTTAGCAAGGCACGTTAGACGCTTCGCATTCACTTTGCGCCTTTAACTTGGCAGAGGTCTTTAATTCACTCACACGATCACGTCTTTAAGAGACTGGGCTTTAGCCATCCCTCTTAAGAGGATAATTCAGCAAAAACCCACAGCTGCCATAAACCCATAAATCCTCTGCCTTTCCTCCTCTTTCCCTCCTCAGAAACGAGCTAACAATAATGCTGTCTTCAATCCAAAATCCGAGGCTTCTCCGCCTCTCAACCCTCCATCAAATCCCCCTCAGGTGCCTCCAAACCTCCACCACCCCTGTCCCCACACCCTCCTCCCCCCAACCCACTTCCCAAATTCTCAGAATCCGTAAATCCCTTCTCTCCCGGGAGACCACAGCGGTGGAAATAGCCAAGACTTTCCTCAGCCGCCTCCGCCGCACCGAACCCCAACTCAAGAGCTTCCTGTACGTATCCCCGGAAGATGGCGTTTTGAAACAGGCCGAAGAAATTGACAGGAGAATTCAGAACAATGAGGAATTGGGCCCTCTTGCTGGAGTTCTTGCTGGGGTAAAAGATAATATTTGCACTTCAGATATGCCTTCCACTGCCGGGTCCAAGATTTTGGAGAATTATACTCCGCCATATGATGCTACGGCGGTTAAAAAGTTGAGGGAAAATGGCGCTATCATTGTTGGCAAGACTAATTTGGATGAGTTTGGTATGGGCAGTACTACTGAAGCCTCTGGTTATCAGGCGAGAAGTTTTACCTTTATCATTTTTCTTTAGTTACTCATTTTTCTAAGATTTTGTGTAAATGCAGTTTTATTTAGAAATGAGATCAAAGTTGGGATTTTTGCTCTCTACAAACAGACAAGTTTGAGTTTTTAGGTAATTACATTGGGTGTTTGTAGCCGGAATTTTTTTAATTTAAATTTTGTAGATATCTGATAGCTCACTTGTACGTCTGATCAGATATGGTATGGAAAACAAATGGCTTCTATGGACTTGAGTGTGATTTAAGCTTGTATGTTCAGTGGTTTTGAGTGAGCGCTGCATTGGAGACTAGGTCAAGGTTAGTCAAGTTGTGAAATTAAGGTAAATAATGCTTAAGACAGTGTGACTCATTAACGCCATAAAATGGGGGGAACTCATTAAAGTATTTTAGGACGTGTTATCTGTGCGAAATGAAGAGCTTTCTTGAATATTTGAATGGTCTGAAAATGGATGGTTGGATTTGGGTTTTGAAATGTAGTGTATTATGCGTAGTCTGGATACTCACTCTGTTACTCCACATATACTTGGTTTAACTTGGACTTGGATGCTGGTGCTAAGTTTGAAGTTTGAAACTAGTAATTTGAATCTGAGAGGAGTTAAAAATGCTTGTTTTTACTTTTTCGCATTTAAATGAATTAAAGTATGTGTTGCGGTAGAAAAGAAAAGCCTCTTTTCCACTTGGTATTGTCAATGCAAATTTGGTATCACAAATAATTGCTGTTTCTCCCTGGGTAGTTTAAATAGCAGTAGGATGACTGGAATTGCTGCACGTTCTCTTTGACAATCTCATTAGTAACCCACCCTATTTCTCATGTAAACTTGAGTTTCTCAGCTGTGAACATGAGTTGGTTCTAAAACCTGCGACTTGTAATTTGAAATGGTTTGCTCAGGTGATGCATCTTCATCTTCAATAGGTGACAGCTAATCCTTGGGATTTATCTCGGGTACCAGGAGGATCATCTGGGGGCTCTGCAGCAGCTGTTTCTGCTCAACAGTGTGCTGTGTCATTGGGAACTGATACTGGTGGAAGTGTTAGGCAACCAGCATCATTTTGTGGTGTTGTTGGACTCAAACCAACATATGGTCGTGTCTCAAGATATGGCCTTGTTGCTTATGCATCATCTCTAGATGTCATTGGATGCTTGGGTTCATCAGTTGCTGATACAGGGATAGTCCTTCAGGCAGTTTCAGGTCATGATAAATTTGATGCCACTAGTAGTAAACAAGTGAGTTTCTTTTCCTTGTTGTGAATAAATTTCTTTGTGGAACTTAATATCATCGTAGGTATTACATACCTAACTTCAAATATGTACCATACCAACTATCAAATCCTCTACCTGTACTACGTAAGGGCATGTGTCTTATACTCTATTTGAAGCCAGAAAAAACATATATTAAGAGGAAGTTGAATCAACTTAAGTTTGTAGTGAATGTCTATTAACTGTATTTGTGGAAGACACTGCTTAAGAGCAGCATGTTGGTGCTGCCTGCTTTTCTGTAAATGTCGCTTTTAGTGTCAAGTGTACATATTTTATCTGACTAGTATCAAAATGATATTGCTACATTGATGGGAATGTTTCTTTTCAGGGAATTCCTAACTTTGCATCCCAGTTTATTCCCAAGGATTATTTGGATTCTAAACCTTTGAAAGGACTTAGAGTAGGTGTCATCCGTGAAACCCTTGTGGATGGAGTTGATCCAGATGTAATTTCGTCACTCCAACGTTCTGTTTCTCACTTGGAGGATTTGGGATGTACCATATCTGAGGTGATCTTCTTTTTATTATTATTATTATGTTTTAAATTGAGTAGAATGTTCACCTGTCTTCAGTTTCGTGTGTGAATCAACAAAAGTATAGCATCTGATATTTACAACTCGCAGGTCTCATTCCCATCTTTCTCCCTTGGTTTGCCAGCATACTACATTCTTGCTTCATCCGAATCATCCTCAAACTTAGCCCGCTATGATGGAGTTAGGTAAAACTTGGAGTTTTGTTTATTTTTCAGATTTCTCTTGCACTATTTGGTTTGGGTTCTTAACGATTGGGAAGAGATGTTAGGACCACTGAGCAAGTAGTAGTGGCAATTTAGTTGTCTTGTCTAATTTAAATGTCTTACCTTTTCAGGTTTGGAAATCAGGTCTTTGCTGATGAGCTAAGTACCTTGTATGGGGATTCTCGTGCTGAAGGATTTGGTTCTGAGGTATGCATCATCTATTCTACTGAAAGATATTATGCAGCCATGTTACTTGGAGTTGGGTATGGGAGTCTCAAGGACACGGGTACTCTAGTGCAAAATGATTGTCCAACATGAGTACAGTACAGCAGGGCAAAGAGAATAGTCCTAGTACCATAGTTCTGCAATCCACCCCTCCAAAATGAGCAAAACTTGTATCTGTTGTCATAGCATGAGTTATCCTGTAGCATTTAAGGAAATAGTACTGACATCTGCTTTAGTTGTGGTGCCTGGCTAAGGCTAACATCTGATTTCTTGTTCTCAGGTTAAACTTAGAATTCTAATGGGGACATATGCACTTTCAGCTGGATATTATGATGCATATTACAAGCGTGCCCAGCAGGTAAAGTAATGAATGTGCCTTTTTTTGTCAAATATAATTGAATGTATGTCTATTGATACGGAGTTGCATTCAGATTGTGATCTTGCCTTGAAGCTGGAGTCTTTAAAAATCCTATTGACCTCTACCTCCTCCACAATCTTTCTCCAGTCTTTTCCTTAATGCGTGATATAATTTCGAACTCATGCTTGTGTATGTCTGTGCACACACACCCCTATAACATTGAATAAATAAAACAATAAAATACATTGTGGCCCAAAAAAATTGAATAAATAAAACCAAACATTAAAAGATTAAAAAAGTAATTTACTCATATTGTGGCCTTTGTTGGTAAAGCCTGTAGGTCAAAATATATTGTCAGGAGGCTTGATGTTTTTCAAGGAGCTATAATATGCTGAGTGTCGCAATGTGTTGGGTTGGTTTTCTTATGCAGCACATTTACTAGAATGATTATGACCATCTCTTAGGTTAGGACTTTAGTTCAGAAGAGCTTCAGAGCAGCTTTGGAAGAAAATGACGTTCTGATCTCACCTGCAGCACCATCTGTTGCTTATAAGATTGGTATGATACATGGATTTTCACTCACTTTTTGCTGTTCTTTCAATTGATTCTATTTATCTTTGATGTAAAACTATATTCTTTTTCTTTTTAAGGCAGCTGATTATATACATTAATTTGCTATGCACAGGTGAGAAGAAAAATGACCCGTTGGCCATGTATGCAGGTGACATCATGACTGTAAGTATTCACTGTAGAAATTCTGTAAGAGATTGGGGTTATAGACATACCTAATCTGGATTATTTTGTGATTATTTTCAGTTCCTAAAGCTAGTGCATTTGCATCCATGTCTTCTCTAAATACCTTAAATGAGTCCAGCTCTATTGTAGCTTGGGGTGAGAAATATGCATTTTAAGGACATGAAAGCAAATTGATCATGAGATAAAATCCCAGAAGTATGTAACTTGGAGAAATTTGAAAGCTGGCAATGGATCAAAATTGTGCAACATATGACTTACCTTGGTGTGGAAATATATTACTACTACAAGCAGTGACGGAGCCAGGATTTTTTCCTTGGGGGGGCCAAAATTTTTTCGAACAAAATTATCTTAATATGTTATGTTCAAACTAATTTTTATTTATTTAAATATATGACATCTTAAAATATCAAATTTTAATTTTAATTATAAAGGTATGTCTATTTCATAAATATGTAGCATAGTCATAACTAAAATTAAGATAAGAAATAACATTTGATTAAATATCTTATAACATCACAAACCACTTAAGTTGCACATTATGAGAAGATGTTCCAATATGTTACTTGTGCAAAAACAAAAATATGACTATGTAATATAAATATAATTATTTTCAATTAAAAAAAGATAAAAGTTATGTTAATATACCTTGAAATTTCATCCTCTTTGATTAAAAATAAATTGAGTTTTACGTTCTTTCATAGAACTAAATTCATCTCTAATTGAATCAATGCTAAATTTTCGAACAACTTCCTTTTTTTATGTACATTGTTAGGCAATCATTCAAGAAATGATCTTTTATCTTGTTTTGGAGCTTTATTTTGATTATTTTCATAATTGAAAATGTCCATTCTATAGACTATAAAACGGATCCAGGATTTTTTCCTTGGGAGGGGGGCCAAAATTTTTCTTAACAAAATTATCTTAATATGTTATGTTCAAAATAATTTTCATCTATTTAAATATATGATATCTTAAACTATCAAATTTTAATTTTAATTATAAAGGTATGTCTATTACATAAATATGCAACATAGTCATAACAAAAATTAGGACAAAAAATAACCTTTGATTAAATATCTTATAACATAACAAACTACCCAAATTGTACATTATGAGAAGATGCTTCAATATGTCATTTGTGCAAAAATAAAAATATAACTATACAATATAATATAACTATTTTCAATTAATAAAAGATAAAAGTTATGTTAGCATACCTTGAAATTTCAACCTCTTTTTTTAAAAGTAAATTGAGTTTTACGTTCTTTCATAGAACTAAATTCATCTATAATTGAATCAGTGTTAAATTTTGATTATCCTTTTTTTTATATACATTGTTAGACAATCATTCAAGAAATTATCTTTTATCTTGTTTTAGAGTTTTGTTTTGATTATATTCACAATTGAAAATGTACATTCTATAGTTGCAATTGATACAGAAAGAGTGAGAACAAATATCATCAATCTGCCAATAACAGGATATATCACTCAATTTCTTGTCTTCACCAAGCCTTCAAGTAATTATTTGTATATGAGTCAACAAGAGGATAGATCACTAATTTTAAATTTTTTTATCAATTAGGCTAAGGTGTATATTTGTATATGGACCAATAAAGTAATTATTTTTATTGTAGCCCATTGATAATTATGAATTAAGTCTTTTATTATAATACATCAAATTGGGTCAATTTACTATGGATCATCAAATTATATAATTTTTTGAATGTTAAATAATTAGTACAATAAAAAATAAATAACTTTTTTTTGAAGAAAAAATTAAATCAAAAGGTGGCTAATTCACACACACAAGAGATATATATACATATATATATATATAAACTCTCATTATATAAACTAAAATTGTAAAAAATTAGGGGGGGCCAACTTTGACTTATACATATATTTACATATTATGAATTAAATTTTTCAAAACTTAGGGGGGGCCATGGCCCCCCTCTGCCCCCCCTTGGCTCCATCATTGACTACAAGAAGATGAAGGTCACACTAGTTGAGCAAAGCTATTAGTGGGAGTGAGTAGATTATGATGGTTGTACCTTAAAAGTGCTTGCTCTTGCACAAAGCTTATTATATGATTCCATGTTTGAGTGGAGGTATCTTATTAAGTAAATTTGTTATAGTTTGATGTTTCCCATTGCCTGTTTTCGCCATTTTATTTGTTCATTATGGAAGTGATTTGTAAGTATTTAGAAGGTTGCACTTCTAAATTTTTGGCATTCGTTAGTTATATAACTTGCAATGACATGGATCCTGTACTCCTGTTGTATTTGTCCTCATCATACATGAATTAGCAATCCCAGATTGAAATACTGGACAGAGAACTAGTAACTGTTTTTAGATTTTCTTCTTCCATTTATAACATTACGTATGATGCAGGTCAATGTCAACTTGGCTGGTTTACCTGCATTGGTTTTACCCTGTGGATTTGTTGAAGAAGGATCATCTGTTCTTCCTGTTGGTTTGCAAATGATTGGAGCAGCATTTGATGAGGTTGGTGTTGGATTTTTTTTGTATATAAGGATCTATATTTGAGTACCGTAACTATCTGCTATGCGATTTGCTCTGTCTTATCTGTTCATGGTACTCTGGGTGATCTTTTTTGTAGTTACTGGTTTTTCAAGGCAAGCATAAGTTACATAAACAGTTTTGCATTTTATTGCAGGAAAGTTTACTTAAAATAGGCCACATTTTTGAGCAGACGCTTCAAGGTTACAGTTTTGTCCCTCCACTAGTGGGCGATGACTTTTGAGTGCTAATCACCATCTGGCATTGCAATTTGAAAATGTAGAAAGAATTTTTTCAGGGCTTTTGGAGTTGCTGTAGGTTACAAGACCATGATGGATGTTCTTCAAGCGTTCTTCCTACTAGAATACCCGCTATTTTTGCAGGCAAATTCCGTCAAGTTGATACTTTAACCTGTTTGCAATGTGTATGTTCAGAGTTATTCATTGAAGACTTGAGATGGTCCACTAATTCTCGTCCACAGTGCTAGGAAAAGTTGCTGCAGAAAGCATCTATATAATTTTAGAGGATTCATTGTCTGATATAGCAGCTGAATTAACTGATTGCTTAAGATGTAGATGCTAGCTCTCGTATTTGCATTTTGCAGTAATTTAAGGGTGTTGTATATGAAATTTTTATCACAGGTACAAAGGCTAAGTAGACCTGTTTCCACGTCATTGTCTATTTGGCATCCAAGTTTCATATCATCATTATCATTATCATTATCATTATCACAACTATATAAAAAGTATGAATGTTGGTTTTAGGGAGTACAAGTGTAAGCACTTTTTTATCTCAGTTTTTGTTATCCCTAAATTACCTCATGTTTTTTAATTAGAATTATTGCATTTTAATATGGCACTAATTAAAAGAAATAAAACACTCCAATTGATTACATTTTAATAGTATTGGTAATTAGAATTAAAAATTGCTTATTAAAAGCTATTTATCTACTCTTGGACTCCATTTTCAATTATTATACATATCAAAATTTCTTAATTGAAGCAGGAAAATTTTCTCATGAGTCATTAGTTGTCATTGTAAGAAGAAAAATCAATTTCAAAAAATAGATACTCTCTAGAAAATGAAAAAACATATAAGGACAAGAGAATCTTTATTCATCTGTATACAAAAATATCACGAGTAAATTTTACAATTATGCATTTTTTTCCAATATGAAGAATTTTTTATGTTGCATCCAATGGAATTTCAATATACAAAAATTGATGACACCTTTATAATTGAAATAGCAGTATTAAATTGGAAAAAAAAAAAATCTAAAATAGAACCATACAAACCACTATCATCATTAATAGCAACTGATCAAAACAAAAAAAAATTAAAAAAATTTGTAAACTATTTATAAAATGACATAAAGTAAATAGCAAATGAATTAAAAAACTAGAATACAATTCAAATAATATCAAAGACAACATCAAAATGACTCCGATCTCGGGGAATACAAACAATATTGGTTTGAGCAAACCAAGTCCATCCATCAAGTCAGAAGTCATCTCTAATGATAAAATAAGAATTATAATAAGGGTAAATTTAAAATGAAGAATGATAAAATGAAAATGATATCCAAATTGTTTTTAGTGATGTCCAAACTACCCTTTTTTTTCCTAACGATTACATATATTTATTGTATTGCAACATTAGTGAATAATGGAAGCGGTTATGAAATGAAAAGCTTTAAAATTAAGTAAATTTCATTTATAGTGACAATTGTAATTAGACATATTTAGTGCATTCCAATAATTGATAATAATGATAGCGGTTATGGATTAAAAGTTGGCAATTAAAAAATAAAATACCAAAAAATTAATATTAAAATTATTAATTGGCCACAATTCTCATTCCAATTCCATGATCATCGAAACAACTAATAGTAAAACCAAAAATATTGTGCTTATATGAAAAAAGTAGACTTGTTGCTTTTGTTTCGCATTGGATTGTGCTAAAAACATGAATAAAAGAAAAGCAAAATAGAAAAAACTTCAACTATCTCTATCTATAAAATTTCAATTCTTAGAATGTACAAACCAAAAAAACTTTACGTGGTAGATCATTTAGACTCCATTATTGACAAAAATAGAATTAACATGATACAAAGAATTCAAATTACATGTATGTTTAATTTTCTAACTTAATTATATTCTTCATTTATAAAAAATTGTGATGATTGTGGTTTATATGCAATAGAATCATGAATATACAATAATTTTGGTAAAACATGATATTATCAATATTTGATATGTTAGAGTTCAAGCTATAAATCAAAAAGTGTTTGGATCATAATTTCAAATTTAATCCTAAGGGATATGTCAACTACATTGTAATGTTTTCTGTCTCTTTTCATTTAATAAAATTTTTAAAAGTAACTAGCTTTAAAAAATAAATAATATAAAAATACTATTATTATGATGTTGGTGATCAAAATTTCATAAAAAAATTTTAGTATCTAAAGAATAATATATTTTAAAATATTACAATAATGTGCAAAGCACGTGAACTATTACTGGTAAACCCAAAAATTTACTCATTCAAGGTTGTCTCTTGTTATGTCTCCTCTCCTTTGGCTCTAGTCATGGCATTTATTTTTTTGAATAATTCTTTTATATATTTTTATAAATAGTTCCTACAGCACCATATGTATCTCAAGTAGTAGGTGAGCAGCTACAAATAAGAGGCATACACTCCCATCTTTTTTGTTTGCATCTGCTATCCTGTGTGGGTTTCTAGCTGTGGTTGCAGTTTCAGCATGGGTAATTAGACTATGATCAAATGCAGAGGCTTCCGACTCAGGGGCTAAGATAATGGATTGTTATATTTAAAAAACAACATACAACATTAATATTGGTGGAACTGTGGCCTTAGAACATTTATAAATCATTTGATTGATCTGAATTTAGGCAACTTTAGTCGCCAACAGCTCTTGCTCATGTCTCAGTTGTCTGATGTGTTGTTGAAGTAAGCAAGATCATCCTGATGAATTTTAGACCTAATTAAGGGGTGCTTTGCAGTAGCACATTTAATGTCCAAGCTAAAATTACACTTCTGACACATGTAAATGAGGTTTTTAGGGACACCACATGCACTACAGAAAACGGAAGCATAAAGGAGACTCGAACTACGATCAAAAAGGGTAAGGCAATGTTGAGGTTGAGGGTGAAAAGAGTGTATGACCTTCTCGGGCATGTTAGCACACGATTCATGTAGCAATGCACGGCAATGAAGGCAAACGTAAATGGAATCATCGAATGGTAGTCCACAACCAGAGCAGTTACGTTTGAAATTCTTTATACTGTTACATTGAATCAAACGATGGTCGTGGCTTGTAGGTTGAACTTCAATGTATCCATGATCAGGTCTGTCGGAGTCCATGATTGTTGGCACCAACTTGGCACAATCAAGGTCTTCACAGTAGTCGCACGAGGAACATTGGAATAAAAAAACGCGGACTTGGCCATTGACCGCAAAGATTGCAGAGCCTGTCCGGAAGAGTACGAAGCAGAAAGGTCAAGGTGGTTGAGCGTTTACAGCGGTGAAAGGGACGCTCGATTTGTGTTTGTGGAATTGTGAAGCATGATTCATGCATCAAACGTTTGTATTCCGAACAAAAGTAGATAGCTTGATAATATCCAAAAGGTTCGCCACAAATAAAGCAGGAATACTTGTGGTCTTTTGGTTTGTCAAAAGCAGTAACGGGATGCTGATGATTAATCTTAAGTTCTGGACCCCTAATCCTGGAAGGTGTCAAGGCAGCACAAGAAAGATTCAATACGAATTCACATTCAGAGCACCGGTAAGCGCAGCCCCCAAAATGGTCACCACAAACACTGCAACTTTTGGAGTCAGGTGCGATGTCAAATTGAGTAAGAGTGTGATCAGGATGAAAGGGATGCCTCAGATGCCATGGAAGTTCAGCACAGCTTCCATGAACGAAGTATTTAGGTCTCTCACACCTATATACCACTCCTGGAAGAACCTCTTGCTGACACAGTTTACATTTCTCGTAACTCCGTATAACCATTTCCTCTCGCTTAAGCTCATGTGGAGGGCTAAAATGAGTAATGCTGTTCATCTTCACATTCCCTCTGCAAATCTATAAGAAATTTGTACCTGTAGATGTATCATGGAGAAACATGGACCATCAAGAACCAGCATAAACAACAAAAACTAATCACCTGATTTCTTCAGTAACATTTCAGAAATTGTCAAGAGTATGCTCAAGCTCAACTGTATGATAACTCAACTAAAAGCATTCATACGAGAAAATCACAGAATCCCACTTGGAGATTAAGCGGATGCAGATCAGTCGTAAGCTCTAATCAAGAAACTAATCATGAAGAAGTAGAAGACTAATGGAAGAGAATCGCCTTACTTTCCTAGTTTTGACAAGATATGGGTTCAACCGTTCCAGTGCTCGTAGTTAAAATTACGTGGTCTAGTCCTCCATTATATCCACATTGCTAGGTGTCCACCCATTTTGTTTCTGATTGGTAGTACTGCATGACAGATATGGAAGTCTTGACAAAAAATTTCGTACCCATGACCGTAAATTAAAGTCGTAGGCTTTCTTGAGGATAAATTCTAAAGTTATTACGAAAAAATGAGCTGGAAGACCTCGCATAAATAAACCACCTCTGTCGTTCTTTCGCAGACCCAACAACCAACATATTCAACACCCTTCACTGCCGCCGGTAAAAATTGGGAACAGGCAGATGAACCAAAAACTGATGACACTTCGCCAGCGTAATCCTTGCAAAAGCCAATCCCATTGTACTACAGCTGAACTAGAGGGATTTTGGATTGATTTGGCTATGCCCAAGAGGTCCGAGTTGAAGCTCGCATTTGCGCTACACATCTTGCTGGAAATCTGCAAGACGAGGTCCAAAAGCCAGGGAGGGTGGCATTGCTACAGCTTTATCTTGGACCCATTTGCCGCTGTCCAATTTTATACAGATTTTCTATTTTATTTCGTATATTCACTGATGCAATGCTTCATTTAAATGGTGAAGAAGTTGTTGGACATATTTTCTTCCTTTTGATTTCCGATACTTTTTGAATGTAGATGAATTCATTTGATGCGTGAAGCTGGCAAGTGTGAAATACTTTGTATTTTCTGCATTGTCTATATCAATTTTGAGGTACCAGACCTCGCATTTGACAAATGCGAAGTTTGGTTTTCCTTTTTTTTTTTTTGGATTTTGTGGGTTGGAAATTTAAAGTCACTTCGCATTCAGCAAATGCGAGCTCAAGAGTTCGCATTTGTTGAATGCGAAGACCCCAAGGACAGAATTCTACACTCAAAACGCCTCATTTGCAGAAATTTTTTAAAATTCATCATCATTTTGGAAATTTCTCCTTTCTTGACTCGTAGCTTCAGTGAAGCTACCACAAGCCAATTTCCAAGGGAAAAAAGAGAATCCAAGAAAGACAGATACCCATGATTAGCTTTATTTTTCATCTATATTTTACTGTACTTGTAATTATGGACGCTATTTTATGAAAAAGGCCTTTTTTTTTCTCTCTGCTTGTGACCAAAAGTGTAGGAGAAGAGGAGCCTAAATCAATTTGAAGGGCACTAATCAGCTTTCTAGTTTCTACTGGGCCTTTACCTGGCAGCTGAACTCTAATCCGAGTGCTCCCATTGGAAGGGCCAGTCAAATGCTTATTAGTTGAGCTACAAGAAGTTGTCTAGAAGTTGAAAAGGGTAATGGACAGTATTACGAGGTCTTCTTCATTACAGCGAAGCAACATTTGGTTAAAATGAAGTAAGATTTACAATTCCTTGAGAAAAAAGAATCATAAAAAATAAAGAGCAAACAGTCACTAAAATCGGATTCATCAAGCACTTGAAAGAATTTACACGAAGTCATCAATTATTATTGATGTTTTCTGAATGTAACCTTGTATTCCCATCATTTTTCTTATATAGGACACTTGGGTGGACGAGGCTTTGGTGATTTTTATCCACTCTCCTTCCACGTCTGGTTGTGGATTATTTGATTCGACATTTGCGATTCCTGGAAGTCTTGCACCTTTACTCTTTGGCAGACGAAAATCCCACCTTAGGGAGCAACATCAAATTTGACGCATGATATGAAACCATTCTTGGAGGACAGACATAAGGGCCTTTTACAACGAAGCATAAACAAATTCAACAGCAATTCAGTTGCCTCAATTCCCTCAAAAAAGATGATGAGCCCTTTTTTTTTTTTTTTGAAAAAAAAAAGCCATGGACTGAGAGCCTACCAAGTACCCGGGAAAAGAAAAGAACAAAGGCTGATTTCTTAGTGTATGCAGTTGAGAAATATCGAAACCGTAAGCAAGAATTCCCATTTTCTGAGTTCTGAATCATTGTGTGCAATATCCTGGTAGTTGGCAGCATTCCCTTTGAGACTTTGTCCGACTTGTATAACTTCACACGAAGTCCACGTCCGCTTTGCTGCACATGAACTCGAGTCTGCTGTACTTCCTGGCTTTCTCCTCCTTGATCTCATGTCACCACGCCTAGCTGGGATCTCCAGGCTATTTCAAGGAAGATAGCAAGAAAAGTGCAGACTTTTGTGGAGACAATACTCAAAATGAAAAGGTTTAAAGGAGATATGAGATATCCTATATTGACAGTTGCAAACACTATAGTGTACAGTTGAATATATGAGAGACTTATTTTCACAACTTTCTTTCTGATTAACTATTAATTGTTCTCAAATTGGACTAGAGAAATCTTAATTCACCCAAGATATACAGATTGTCATGGTAGAGCGAAGATGAACCAATTTGAGAAAAATCTACAAACAATTTCGACATGTAGAACATTGTATGACAAGCTTAGCTTAGAAACAATGTTAACCAAATTTGTCCTGGAGAGCTTAATGTGAAAATGTTTTTCCCTAGCTCTGAGAATTTTACCTGATGAACACAGCTTTAACTATTGCAGGGGGAGTTGTAGTTTTGGGCACTCCTTGATGCAGAAACGCAGTGGCAAGTCGAAGTCAATGTTAGTCAGCTCTGGTAATCCCCGCAGCTCAATTGTATTCAAACTTGGCAAATTGTACTTCTGCTGTGCTGTGTCTTCCGCCAGAGTGCACAAAGTATCACAATGTTGCACTCTGACAACTGTAAGGTTCTCTGGTAGACACCCTGAAGGCAGAACATGTTCAAGCATGGGGCACCTCCCAACATCCAGAACTTGCAAAGATGGCAGTAGGCACCCGATAGTCTTTAGTTCAGGCAGCTCCCACAGGTGCAGTCTGTGCAAGTTTGGCAACATATGTTTCTTTGAGTTGTTCTCAAAAAGAGATTCCAATTTATCACAAAATTTGACATCAAGAACTTCAAGATTTCGTAGAAAATGTGATTCAAAGAACACAACCGAAAGGCCTGGGCAACAATCTAGATGCAAATATTTCAGATTTTGGAAGCAGTCAGCTTGCAGCAAGCTGACTACATTCTTTAAGCTAAAAGCAGAGGAAATCCACAACATCTCTAACTTTTTACCCAACTCAACAAAATCTCCTGCAGTGTCTTCATGCATCAAAGACTCCATATTTTGGCACCTATCAATCCAACAGCCTCTCATCATTCTGAGATTTTCAGCACCCAGATCAGCTAATGACCTGAAAAACAAATTGTCCTGCAAAAATATGTGCTTGGCATGACTAAGGATATTTTCAATCCCCTTGGGAAAGCTATGTAAACCATGTATCTCCAGTAAGTTTGACTGTTCTTCCAAAGAAGGACAATGCCGGGACTGGAGGTAGATGTCTCTAAAAATATACTCATCCTTGTGAAAATAGAATCCTCCTATCCCACTTTGCAGCTGGATTGGATGAACAAAAAGGTGGAAGTTCTTGATGCTTGCGTCTTCAAAGGGGTGATTTCTTTTTAGAAGCTCCACAAATTCTGCACCACTTAAAGACACTAAAAATCTCTTGCTGTGAGAGACTTCCCCACGCAAAGAAGATATGGCCCATTGATTTTCATTCAGAATCCGAATTGAGCACTCTTTCCTTTTGCTTTCAGATCCTTGAATATTGTGCATATTTGGCAGAGCAAGCTGCACAAGCTGAGTCAAATCTGAGATTCCATATGGAAGATCTCTTATCATCACTCCAGGTAGATCAAGAATCTTGATATCTGCAAGTTCTTTCAAGCTGAAACAATCTTTAAGCAAGAGTTTATGAAGGTTACTAAGACCTTTGAGTGAAGGGAGTTGTTGCAATGATGTTCTGGAGAGATCCAGAACCTCGAGCCTTGTAAACTTTTCCAAGGGTGGAAGAGTCTCTATCTGTCTGCAATTCCTTAAAGAAAGGCGAGTAAGGTTTTGTCACATGACATGGGTGGTAGCTTCTCAAGTAGGGTGTCAGATAAGTCCAGAATTTGAAGTTCACTCACATGCTCCAGAAAATCAGCTATCCTCAATGAACTAAGCCCACACAAGTTGAGCTCCTTGAGGATAGAGAGAGATCTTAATTCTGGAAGTCTTTCAATATTGGTTTCTGAGAGGATAAGTCGCTCAAGGCGGGACAACCCTTCAAAAGTTTCATCTTCCAACATTGTCAAAGCCTTGCATCCAGATAGATCAAGCACCTCCAGTTTGCTTAAAGAATTTAAGGCTGGCAACTTCACCAAGTCTAAACAACATGAAAGTAATAGTTCTTGGAGGCTATGGATACCAGAAAGTGGGGGCAGAACTTTGACTTTTGTTCTTGAAAGGTTGAGCAGTCTTAGGTTTTTGGTTTGTTCAAAAAAATTGGCATCAATTTCGACTAGACTGCTAGCACCTGAAAGATCAAGTACCTCAAGGTTTTCAGGTAATTCTACACAGTTAATTTTCTCTACTTGAGAACAACCTTTCAAATAAATTTCGCAAGCACTAATGTTGGAAGGTAGACAGGATACAGTAGTTCCAGATAGATCCAAGATCTTAAGCCTAGCATTCTTTTTGAATGAGCGGTCTTGGAACTCTTCTATGCCTGCTCCAGAAAGATCAAGAACTTGGAGCTTGCTTAGAGACTTGATACTTGGCAGTCTTGACATTTTTTGACAGCCAATTGCTGAGAGATGCATCAGCTC